TTTAGGGTTTAAAGGGTTCAGGGTCTAGGGCTTAGGGAGTAGTCAAATGGTAGTTACACTAGCGTATGAGTAATAATGGTCATGGCAAAATGATAATTACAACAGTGTAGTAGCGGCATTGACAAGAATTAGCTAGTGATAATAACGATAGCGCAGCCAGAACAATAAGAATCCCAATCGAATAATAGCAACAGTACTGTAACAACAAGACCACTAAGTATGACAATAACGGCTAATAGTGATCATAGTACTTGGAGGGTCAGATGGACTTAGTAACTAGGTTAATGATGGGGAAAATTGGAGTTACTATATGGGTTATAGGGGCCATTAACCTACTTACTAAGTCCCCCTGACCTTCCAAGTAATGGTCACATTGTGCAGGTGGCGCCTCTGCGCATAGGTCTCCGCTGCCGCTGGACCTCCCCCATCTTGCAATGAGATGCGATACTGCATGGAGCACTCCTTCAATCCAAGGCAAAGCTGCTACAGGGGGACTTCTCAAAATGGCGGCCTCTTGGGTACCCTACGGATATAAAGGGATCATCAGGGGATTTTGAAGGTCCTCATTAGCGATTGTATAGGGAAGGTGTTGAGAAACTCTCACGGAGCCACAGTACCATCTCCGTTGCTATACGGGTTGTTCTCAAAATTGTGGGCCCCTTTTTCAGCTATAGATTATTTTGCGGCACCTAATATCTAGACGTCCCAACACTTGACCCCATTTTTGGGAACTACCCGGATGACACCTTCACCCTAAACCCTAAACCCTAAACCTTCACTCACAGGAGGTCCTTGAATCGCGCCAGCTCAGCTTGACCAAGTTGCTCCTGGCGTCAGGCCCCAGTGCTGCCTAAAACGATTCAGCCAGGCGTTTAGGGTTAAGGGCTTACGGTTTAGGGTTTTGGGTGTAGGGTTTGGGGTTTAGGGTTTAGGATTTAGGGCTTAGGGTTTAGGGTTTAAGGTTTAGGCTTCCACAGTTGGAGGAGTGGTCTCTTCAGAAGTATGGCATAGCCTAGTAATAAGAAGTGCAATAATAATCATCCTTATAAGGATAATAAGAAATCGTAACAATACTGTAGGAATGGGAGCAGTAATAGGATAAAGGTTAAATTTTGGTATGGCCCATGGCTTGCGGTTTTGGAAGAGCAAGGGGGCAAGTCATGTGAGCTACAGTCAATGTTTCCTACAGGATTCAGTGGACAAGGTTTCCCTATTGGGGACTAGATTAAGGACTGTACTAAATTTACTAAATAAACTACAAGAGGGACCCCTGTGTCCGTTGTTAAGGGTCCCTCTATAAGGCAATATAGACGGTAGCCATGCGTCCTCCAGGTCGCGCTTGAAGCGACGATTCTTTGCCCGATACTCCTGGGCTGAGTCAGAGAAGCTTGTCACATGTTTAGGGTTTAGGGGAAACGACCCCAGAGGATATGTAGGGATTAGAAGCAGATTAGAGGGTGCCACTTGTGATTAAATTATAAGGGTTCCCTTGAGCCCTAAACCCTAAACCCTAAACCCCTCAACCCCTAAACCCTAAACCCCTAAACCCCTAAACCCCTAAACCCCTAAATCCCTAAACCCTAAATACCCTAAACCTTAAATACCCACAAGCTAGCCCACACATAGGCCTCCTGGTTGAGGCCCGCGACTTGGTCAATTCCAGTCCTCAGATCGCTAAGCCAAGTGACTGCTTCGGAAAATTCAAAAGCCTCAGAGGTTTAGGTTTAGGGTTTAGGTTTAGGGTTTAGGGTTTAGGGGAAGACGTAATAAAAATAGTAATAGGAATGATAACAGCAATAATAAGATTTATGTTTTGCAGCCACAAGTCTGGCCAATACGCTCCACAGCCACCGAGAGGACTCGCGCCAAGGCGGCGTGAGCCTGCAAGGGGCCGGAAAGCACGCAGGACGTCCAGTTCTCGTCTAGGGTTTAGGGCTGGGGGTTTAGGATTGTACTGAAGCAACTCTCTAAACATCTGCAGGATGTTTCTACTCCTATCAAAGGTTGATCTCCTTAAACTCTATCCACTGTAATCCCCTCCCCCTAATATTCAACCCCCCCCTCCGGGTATTAAATACTCCCAATATTTTGATCATATACCACAACGGGGAGTATTCAGCCCTGCACCCTAAACCCTAAACCCTAAAACCCTAAACCCTGCTAGGCGCCTTGCTCTGCTCACTCTGCACTGATGACCTCGTGACCTCTGGCGGGACCGCCAGGGCGGCTGACTTGGGGGCAGCTGCCGATTTGGGGGCCGCGACCAGATCTGTCGGCCTGCGCATGGCTTTGCAGATTGGAGGGTTTAGGGGTTACCTCCTGAATACCCCCAAAACCCTAAACCCCTTGGCTTTGCGGATGGGAGATCTGAAATGGACAATCCAAAGAAAGCATGACAGACTGACCCTTAACCCTAGACCCCTAAATCCTCAAACCCTAAACCCTAAGCCCTAAACCCCTAGACCCCTAGACCCCTAAACCCTAAAACCCCAAACCCGAAGCCCTAAGCCCGAAGCCCTAAACCCCTAACCCCCAAACCCCTAAACCCTGGGACTGCACCTGTCGGCCACCTTTGCTGAAGCCTTCGCTTTGGGGCGAACTTTGGGAACTGGGCGTGCAGGATACCTGCCAGTGAGCACCACTACACGACAAGATACAAATGGTTTAGGGGTTTAGGGGTTTAGGGTCTAGGGTTTACGGGTTTAGGGTCAAGGGTTTAGGGGTTCAGGGTGTAGGATTTAGGGTGTAAAGCCAAATGCTGCGCTGCCTATTCTCCTCCTCCATGTCGGCGCTTGAGCTTCCAGTGCCCTCCTGCTGTTTTGGCAGGTACTCTAAACCCTGAACCCTAAATCCTAAACGGTACCCCTTGGGTCCTGCCCCCACCCCTTCACAATCTAGAATCAGGGCCATATTAAGGGCTCCAAATAATTACAGTATAAACATCATCCAACTGTTCATGAGTACGGGGCGTGCCCAAGGTACCCCAGTACACCCATCTCTAGGGTGGAGAGGTTAATAACCTTAAGGATAAGAGTTCTCTACTTGCAGAACCTTGCAACGTGGTGGGAATATCACGAACTACTAGCTCCAGAAGAGTAGTTATAAGAAGTGATAAGATTATCACCTGGTTACCCTCCTGAACCCTAAACCCCACCCTAAACCCTAAACCCTAGACCCCTAAACTCTAAACCCTAAACCCTAAACCCCTAAACTCTAAACTCTGCAACGGCAACCCCTCTCCGGCAGCTTGGGCCAGTCGCCCGCATCGGGCGCCTTTGGCGTCCCTCTCGGGCGCATGAACCGAACTGTCCCGCTGCAGGCCTCGGCCAAAGTGTATTACTAGAACTACTGTCAATATTTAAGGCTTAGGGTTTAGGGTTTAGGGTGGGGTTTAGGGTTTAGGGGTTTAGGGTCTACATTTACGGAACGTGTAAGATTATGGTCCCCCGTCCTAAACCCTACACCCTAAATAAACCCTAAATCCCATTCCCTGAACCCTACTCCCTGAACCCGATCTCCTATACTAGCCACTATAGCCCCAAACCCTATGCATGGAAGCTACATGAGCCATGTCTAAACTCCTAGACCCCCCTTAATAACCCCTATACTAGTCCTCCCCTGTATAATCCCCTGTAAAACCCTCCTTAAGGAGTTTACATTATGGCTCACATAATCCCCTCCAGCCTCGGCCAACTCGATAGCCATGCGGTCAGGGCGACGCGTGGTAGTCTTTGCTTTTGCTTTGGGCTTGGGCTCTTCCTGATGCCGCACGAGTTGGGGTTGTGGGTTTGGGGTTTTAGTGTGGGCTAGACATAAATGACTGCAGTTGAATACCTTGGCTCTCCTTCTTCCAACATTGGTGCACCGGCTAACATACGGTATCAAGCTATACGCAGAGGCCCTTACATGGCACGTGCGAGTAGAAAGCATTGTCCTTTAGTCTAAATGCAGCAAATAGGACGCGGTAAAGGGCACAGCTTCCGTCCATTCCTTTTGTGGAAGAGCAGCTTCGCCAAATACCCTAAATAGTAGTTTCCATTTTATTTTCTGCTATCGCAATATGACCCCAATAAACTATAGTAGTTTCCATGTTCTTTTCCATCATCCCTATACAACCTCAATATATTCCCCATATTCTTACTCTCCTATATATCCCCAGTTTCCATGGTATTTTCCATCTTCTTTCCCATTTGATGCTCCATTATTGGGATAATATGTAAATATAACCCCTGTATAACCCCAATATTGGATGGACAAAGAGTTGGAAGAAAGCAACGCTGCGAGCGGGTCCTCGCGATAAGACGTGGCACCCATTGCGATGTTCACTGTGGAGCCTGTACGGACTAAGGTTTAGGTTAGCAGGACCCCCCCCCACCCTGTAATAGGAATATAAGAGGACCCTAATACAATCCTTATTCTCCAAAATAGTCACTATCACTGGGTGGGGGGTCCACCTAAGGTTTAGGCTTTTGGGGGTCTAGGGTCAAAGGTCTAGGGTTTAGGGTTTAGGGATAAGGTTTCAGGGTTGAGGTCTAGGGTTTAGGGGAATATCTAAGCAGCTGCCACTTCTTGAAGGAAGGGCGCCATGCCTTCATCTCCGATGCGTTTGCGGGCTTTTTGCGAGAGCTTGACGGAATGTGCCTCACGAAGCTGCCAAAAGCAATGACCACGGAAATGTGACAGCAATGGTATTAGCGTTTCTAGCAGTAAGAGTGGCCTTTTTAGGGTAGGGTTTAGGGTTCAGGGTTCCCAAAAGGAAGATACACTGTTTGGGTACCATAGGATCCCCGAAATAAGATACTACTCACTTACTTGTTTGTTTTGTGGCCAGCGGCTTCTTATCTCAGGTAATCTGCTCAACGCGATAACTGACTACAGGGCAAAGTGGCCAGGATTTCCAAAGTCGCGGGTCCCATTTTGGGGGTCCTCATAGTAAGGATCATAGTGGTGTAGGGTCTATTTTGGGCCCCTTACTTAGGGAAACTACCAAATGAGTAGTGTTTTTTTGGTTGAACCTAGTAAGATTATATTCCTCATATAAAATACTATACCCCAAAAGAAGGATATAATCATACTCTATATTGGGTACCATAGTATCCCCAAATAAAATACTACTCAAATGGCTAGGTCTTTAAGTTTCTGTCTGGAATTGTCGCCGCGTCGCAACAGTGGCAACGGGCGAGTGTGGCAGACGTTTTGAGAAAGAAACAGCCGTGCCGTCTACTTGGAGGGTCAGGGGGACTTAGTAACTAGGTTAATAATGGGGATAATTGGGGTTACTATATGGGTTATAGGGATTATTAACCTACTTGCTAAGTCCCCCTGACCCTCCAAGTACCCAAACCTATGGGTTGTTCTCAAGCTGATAAGCTCTTTTTGGTCACAAACTATATTACGGCACCGAATATTTAGGGGTACCAAAATGGGACCCTAAGTTTGGGAACTACCCCTATCAAGATCAGGAATTATGGACTGAGCTTCATCATTGCGCAGCTCCACTAGAAAAATCGTGTGCGCAGGAGAGGCATCTAACGTTCCTTTCCTGTGCCCTCGTTTCTTGCCTACTTCCGGAACCTATCAGCGGTCCACAAAGAATCGACATCAAGGGCGAGAAGACGGGGTAGATAAGAACAGGAAGGATACAGAAGAAAGCAGAAGGGAATGACAAAGAGGGCCATTCATCCCATGTGTCCCGGCCTTTCAGACAACTGCAAATTGAGAGTAGCACGTTGCATGAGAAAGATGGGCTGAACAGGAGCATTGGTTGCCCGCACCCTTGTCGGGCCTCTGCTTCAAAAGGATCCCAACACAGATTCAATACAGTGACTCGGAAAAATCGATCCCTAATTTCGGAAATCCCCACATGCTCTGTTAGCTTGCGACTGGACTTGCAAGTGGTAACTTTTAGGTACGGCCCCGCCTCAAAACAAAATGGATGAGTGTGTACAGAGGTTCCTTTTGGGAGGACGCCATAACATTGTATTTGTTGTGGTCTATATTGGGTGGTCGCAACATAAATGGAAAATACCCTAAACCCTAGATCCCCTGTATGCCAAAAAAATGCAAGCACGTAGCTGATTGCTCAATAGAAATGTGCTTGACATGTGGAAGCATGTCCCCAGTCAGCTGCCAGATCCATATTCTCTGTATGTTACGTTACGAATAAAAATACTGCGAAGAATAACAACAACAAGAACTATGATGCACATAATGGTAATAATACATTACATGTACATACTTCCATACTCTGCTGTACCGACGTTCTGAAAGTATTTACATTCATTTTGGTATCATATCATGTAATATCAAACATAAAGACACCATGGTCCAGCGCCTGCCTTCACCTCGTGCAGCCACCTAGAACAAGGTGTAGGGTTTAGGGCTTAGGGCAACATCAGTGCACTCTTCACGAAGTAACGTGGGACGTAGACGTCTCAGAAAGAATCTTCTTGCTGGTGGGCATACTAAGGAATCAAAGGAATAATTTCAAGGGCCTGCTAGGATTGCATAGGGACCGCTATAGGGATTTACGGTTTGGGGTTTAGGGTACATGTTGAGACGGCATAGGGCTGAGGGTTCAGAGTAGTTATAACCCCTATATAACCCCTGTGTACGGGGATGTACATATATGTATATATATCCCTATATGACCCCTATTTATTCCCTACATATCTCCTATATGTCCCTATATAACCCCAATATAGTCCGTGCCAAGGCACAGCTCGTCTTCTGTGTTGAAGGCTACCAGGCGCAACGGGCCACGATGGCACTTTTCATGCTTGCAGACGTAGTGGTCCTCCTGTCATGAGCTATAGTCTAAACTCCTTAAAGGGGTTTATATAGGGGGTTTAGGGTTTAGGGTCTAAACTCCTTAAAGGGGTTTATATAGGGGATTATATAGGGGACTATTATAAGGGTTTTTAAGCTTCAATGTCAATAACGATGACGGTAATAGCAGTAGCCATAGTAGCATACTAGCAACAGGAAGAAAAATAGTAGTCATAGTACGTAATAGCAGTACTAGTAGAAATCATAAGTAAAGGTTGTAAGCGGGTAATCGTAGTTAATAGTAATAATAGTAGGAAAGAGTAACAGCATTACATGAAAGATAAAAGTAATAGTTGTAGTACTAGAATTAAGAGTATGAGAATAGCAATAACAAAAGACGCGAAGCCAGCCAGCTGGTGGCTGTGCCAGATCACTGCGCTACACTTGGGCAAAGCAAGGCAACCAACATGTGAGCTATAGTCAAGACCCCTTTTATCCCCCTCAATCACCCCTACAATCGTCCCCTATATGAGCTATAGTCAAAACTCCTAGTATCCCCCTTACTAACCCCTATAGTAGTCCCGTATACAATCCCCTATATAACCCCCTTTAAGGAGTTTTGACTATAGCTTATATAATCTCCTATATAACCCCCTGTGAGGAGTTTCGACCATGGCTCACGCCTCCGCAGGTCAGGGTTTAGGGTTTAGGATTCCCTACACGCTTCTCAGCCCCTGGCCTCGTAGTGTAAAGACAGGTGGCTGTAGTCTTGGTAAAACTCTCCTCTTCTGCCCAGTTTCTCACCTGAGTGGCGTTTGTTTTGGTGGTTAAGCCCAGTGAAGTTATAGTCTTTATACAAGATACTATACCCAAGAGGGACATAGAATCTTACCCTATCTTGGTATCCCTAAACTCAAATACTACTCACCTGAGTTCGCCCAGCACTGCGCCCAATGACAGCTAGCAGGCTCTAAGCTTCTAAGACATGAGTTATGGACTCACACCCTGCAATAGTGGCATAATAGGTACTGGGTAAGGTGTCCACTCAAGACATGAGCTAGGTCGCAGAGGCCGCAGGGCTGATGCTTCATCTGCATATGCTCCAGCAGATCCTGCAAACATGTTTGGGGTTTTAGGGTTTGGGGGTTTAGGGTTTTTTGGTGGTTTAGGGCAGTTTAGGGTTCAGGGTTTAGGCGAATGGCTAATTCTCATCTATCTGCTTTCCATGCTTTGGTTTCTCTCTGCGGCCACTCTGCATCGTCAACTTTGAGACAAACACTTACTGGCTGTTAATAGGGAATATTCTCCCTACATAATCCCTGTATAAAATGTATATATATACACACCCATATAATATATACATATATATATATCCCCTTATTCCCTATTGAGCGCCAGTCAGAACAGTCCTCTTCTGAGTAAAAACTTCTCTTGCAGAAGCTACAGGAAGCGTGGGGTGGAGACGTCGGCAAGCTTGGACCTCGGCTTGCCCATTCAATCTGCCACATATGAGTAGTGTTTTTTTGGTGGTTGAACCTAGTAAGATAATATTCTTATATAAAATTCTCTACCCAAAAGGAGGATATAATCTTACTCTATATTGGGTACCATAGTATCCCCAAATAAAATACTGCTCACACGGGGTTCCCATGAGACATTCTGAAAGAAGAGGGAAGAGTTTGAACACACCCACTTAGATCCCCGCACTACCACAGTTTCCAGTTCATTGTCCATGTTCTTTTCCACTATTCCCCTATATACCCCATTACATTGTATGCACATGAAAGCCAAATGCTAGGCCTCCAGCCCACAACGTCTGGCCTATCACCGTCTTCATGATGTCTTCGTAGATCATCGGGCGAATAGAGCAGCTGCTCAAAGAGGAAGACTTTGCGTCCTCGTTTACGCTACTGCTACTCTGCATCCAGGAAAGTTTGGCTTCGTTTGGGAGCCTTTCAAGATGGGGGGGCCCCCAGGGACCCCAAGGATATATAGGGATTGCAGGGATTATCAGATTATCAGGGGGTATCGGGGCTCTTACTAAAAATTATGTAGGCATTCTTTTAAGATACTCACATATCAGCTTTGCTAAGCCTGCATTCCAGATGGCCTCGCAAGCACGTCGCGCAAAAGCGACGGCGATGCGCTTGCTCTACGTGGTTCTGAAGCGCCTGCAGCCGGGCCAGCAAACAAACAGAGATATAGTCCCCCTTAAGTAGTTAGGATATGGGATATACGGGAATCTTATTATGGTTTTGGGGATTTCCATATTCTATCTTCTTGAGCACTATGGGTTTAGGGTTCACGGTTTAGGGTTTTGCACTGTCGAGCCTCTATGGTGGGGAAGCACTCGCCCTTCTCTGCACATGTTCGCTGCCAGCAACGGTAATCAAACCTGCAAGCCCATCGAAACTTTCTTCCATAACATGCACAGGGGTTCAGGGTTTAGGGTACAGCAGATTTGAGGGACGTGCACCAGCATTCGAGGAACTGGTATGAACCCTTAATCTAGGTTCTGCTACAGATCATCTGAACTATAGTCTAAACTCCTAGTATCCCCCTTAGTAACCCCTATAGTAGTCCCCTATATAACCCCCCTTTAAGGAGTTTAGACTATAGATCATGTATGTACCCCTGGAACAGAATCTCCCGCTAGAAAGGCTCCGGTCCATCGCAAGGGCCTCTATAACTGTCTATAGCCCCTGTGTAGCCCAGTATATAGGGTTTAGGGTTTAGGGTTTAGTAGTTTCCATTTTCTTTTCCATTATCCTTATTATATCCCCAATATATACCCTATATAACCCCGATATAACCCAAATGTGCGGGAGCCTCTACTACCACCCTTCCAAACGCGACCCTCAATGCGATTGAGCCGCAGTCCGTCTACGTCCTCCCGGACTGCAGCGCTGCTGTAGGTAATTCCCAACCTCGGTTAGGGTTTAGGGTCAGGCGTTTAGGGTTTACGGTTTTTTTTATGGGACCTACGGTTTAAGGTTTCGGGTTTAGGGCTTAGGGTTGCCCCTGTGGAAGTATAACACTGTTCAGAGTTTGGGGTTACTTCTATGGAATCCGTGGTTGCCACATATATTTTCTGTTGAATCGCCTTGTGTTCCCTGGGTTTTTGGGCCCACCATTTTGAAAAACCCTAAAGCCCAATCCTAAAGTCATGTCGTTCATCCCTGCAACTCTTCAAAGTAATCTACGGCCGTTTCTCACGCATGAACGGGACCCACAGGCGTCAGAGATTGTAGCGCAAATTTGCTCAGGAATACTCTTAGATAGGGAATGCAAAATGAAAGCCCAGCTACTCTACAATATAGGGTTCGCAGTTTTTGGGCTAGAGGTGGCTATAAGGAATGGGTTGTAGGGACTATCGTGAAGGACCATGTAGATACTCCTATAGGGATCTAGTACTCCACTCCCTACTACTCCCCGATAAGAGTGGGTAACTCGGATAGCTGCCACTTAAACCTAAACCCGAAACCCTACACCCTAAACCCTACCCGAAAGCCTAAACCCCAAACCTTAAACCTTAAACCCTCAATCCTAAACCCAAAAGCCTGAACCTAAAACCCTAAACCCCAAACCGAAACCCTAAAGTCAAAGCCCTAAACCCTAAACCCCTAAACCCTAAACCCCTAAATCCTAAACCCTAAACCCCTAAACCCCTAAACCCCTAAACCCTAAACGTGAAGTGAAGCCTCGGAGCTTGCTATCTCTCGGAGCGCTTCGCGCTGGTGGCCGACCGTCCGGTGTTATGGCAATTTCTGTTAATGGTTCCTTGCAGACCTCCGCTGAGTAGAGTTTAGGGTTTAAGGTTTCAGTTTTAAGGTTTAGGGGTTAAGTTTCAGGGTTTAGGGTTTAGCATTTAAGGTTTGAAAACTGAACAGGACTGAGCAAAACTTCCTCGTGATTCGTAGGGAATGACGGCATGGATCCCCAGAATTTGATGGTCCTGGTATACTCCTTACGCATCCTCCTTCTGGTCCATCCCTAAACCCTGAACCCTAGACCCTAAACCCTGAATTCCTAGACTCTAAACTCTACTTGGAGGGTCAGGGGGACGTAGTAAGTAGGTTACTGACCCCTATAACACATATAGTAACCCCAATTATCCCCACTACTAACCTAGTTGCTAAGTCCCTCTGACCCTCCAAGTAAACCCCAAACCCCAAACCCTAAACCCTAAACCCAAAACCTTAAACTCAAAACCCAAAACCCTAAACCCTAAACCCAAAAAATCCTAAACCCAAAAGCAGCTGTCATCAGCCAGGCCACTGGACAATTAATGTCCTTCATGATGGTGCGGAGCCTGCAGGTGATCCCTTCCCTCCAATATTCAAACCCCCACTTTTAGGGTTTAGGGTTTAGGGGTCTAGGGTTTACAGTTTGATGGTTGAGGGTCTGGGGTTTAGGGTCTAGGGTTCGGGAATAAATTTGAATATCAGCGTTGTTAGGGGGAGGCGATAACACGGCATGGGAGTTTCTCAAAACCCTGAAAGATCCTCGGGATATATTGGGATTACGAACAGATGATGGGGTCCTCCTTAAGGAGGAGGTTTTCGGGTTTAGTGTTTTCAGTTTGTATTGTTTCGCGCTTGGGAGGCTTGGGTCTTGGTGAGAATGAAGATCAATGAGGACAGGTCTGGGGCTTAGCGGGGTAATTATACCATGGGGCGTGGTCAGCACGCACCAAGCATAACATTTACGGTTTTTCTGAGAAACCACCACATCGTCCTCGGCCCCAGATTACGCCACCTAACATGAAGTGAAAACATGTGCTCCCAGTAAGAATGGCCGAGATCGTCTTTGTGGACGGACACCTGTAGTACCCGCATGAAACTCTGTTGCCATTCGCTACGGGTCACCCTAGCTCTGAACATTGCGGACAACACGCATTTGAGTAGCGCTTTTTTTGGTGGTGAAACCCAGTAAGATTATGTTCCTTA